CTGAGTTGTCTGCATGAATTTTCTGGGGAAACCCAACAGAAGTGTCAAACCAACTCTTGTGCTTGAAAGGACTTGATACAGCAGGTCAATGTCCTCTGCTGATATCTCTAAAAGAACATTTTATAAGGCTGCTATCAAGTGTGTGCAGTTTGTGAAACACTCTCCCCTTACAGTGGCATAGGGTTTTGTTGGGATATAGTTGACAAGTCAGAAGACCACACATGCAAGGATGTACCTGGGTCACATCCCTCTATATGAGACACAGAAGATGGTTCTCAGACTGGTAAGGGAGAGTGTGTTACAGCAGTTTCGTGTTACATCTGTTTGACATTGTGGTTGTTGAACAGCTTAAGTGGTTTACAAAAATAATTTTTTAAAATACGTGTATTACATCTTTATTTGGAAAACTTTTTTAAAAAGATCAGTTGGGAAGTCAATTTGCTCGCAGGTATACCAGAGGACAGAGCTGGGATGTACTCACCCTAACCCCCTTCCGTGCAAGTTCCTGGGTTTATTTTGCTGGGTAGGAGAAAGTTATATTTCAGTGTTGCATAGCACAGCATCAGACAACTTGGAAGTCTCCCTCATGAACAATACGGATTTAACAAAACTATAAATCAATTTTTTTTTTTTTCTTTTGAGTTGTTTTTACAACCTCAGAGAAGGTTGAAAGTCAAGCCGTTATTAGTAGTTTTGGTTTTGTTTTTAAACCATCAATATGAGATGTTTTCCAGCATCGAGCACATCATGGCTGAAGGTAAAATGTTCCCATGAACAGGCTGTCCATTTCCCTATCGACTGGCACTGCTGAAAAGCTGATGATCCAGTTCATGCATTCCAGCTTCATCACTCTTTAAGTGAGGGAATGACAGAATACCATGCTTTCAGTTTGTAACAAGGTGTACTCCCTGCCAGTGGGGTTTGCTCGGGGTGTTTGGATAAAACAGAGTTTTCACTTTCAGCTTTAAGACACAGAATTTTCATTTTTAGCATTAAAACTTTAGTGTTGAAGCAAGTTATCCTCCTGGAGGAATTGCACCCACTGTAAAATCAGTCATCTGATGCATTCTGGCTGCCTGCACATTCACTCTGTAATATCTATAAAGAAAACCTTAGAAATAGCAATACTGCAGCAGATCTTGAGCTTTGGGTTTTATTTCTCTCGAGCTGGCACTGGATCTATGGTTTTCACTTCATTTTGTGACCTGATGAAATAATCAGCTTCGCGGTCCAAGCCAGGCTCTGGCCTAGTTGTCCTTTTAATCAGACATCATTGACACAGTCGTATGGTTGTATTTTGGCTACTTGTTTAGTAGTGTTAGAATTGCAGAGATCACCACTAGGCTTTGAAGCTTTGTATTCATCATTTAAGTTTGGGGTTTGTTTTTAATTTAGTTAAGAATGGAGTAGGGGATGTGCCTATCTACACTAGGGTTTCAAGATAGTGATGAGGGTGAGTGTGGCTCGCCATCCCCATTAGACATAGTGATTAAAAAAATGAATTGTGCTGCGTAGATGAGCAGAATAGTTAATGTGTGTGTGGAAGTTGAAAGCTTTACATCTTTGAAAAACAAGAACAAACCTAAAAACAAAACCCCACCAGGCCCGCACCAGATTTTGTTCTTGCTTGTTGTTTCCTGTGTGCTAATTGAACAAAATCTGGGTTTCTTCAAGAGCTGTGAAGTTCTGGAGTACAAAAATACACTGTTCGGTATCTGGAAACTGCCCATGTTACGTATCTGGTGTTCTGTGCAGAGTAAAAGGCGCTGTGTGAAGAAATGATTTTGCAGTGGCTTTTGTCTCATAACGGTCCCATGGCCATCCGTAGCCAGCACAGAGGGACATCACAGTCTGGTGGGCTGTGCAGACTAGCGTGTGCCTCTGCTGGCCAAAGTTGTGTGTGTGCGTCTGCGTGTGTGTGTGTGTGTGTGTGTGTGTGTGTCCTCTTGTGGCTCAGAACATGGTGAGGATCTTTCCATCAGTGTCTGTTACCTATGGAAAAGCTGGCGGTGGTTGAGCTGCTGCTGACACTGTTTGGTTTGCAGTAGGGTTGCTGCTGCTTTAGCTGAGGGAGTTGATGTAAGAGCTCCTAGTTCCAGAAATAGGATTTGGCAGGGTGCCTCATCCTGAGCAGGGCTGTCCCCTGGTGATGGGATGCTTGTTTGCAGCACCGCATCACCAACAGAGGCATGATAGAAGTGAGGATGCAGGAAGGTGCTGGGCTAAGCCAGGTTTGGGAGCCTGGCACCTCTCAGTGGCTCCAGGCAGAGCCATTCCCTGTGGGATTAATGTGGTGCCTTGCAGAGGGGATGGTGCTTGTCCTGAGCTGGTGCCTTTTACCCTTAGAGGAGTGCTTTGAAACAGCTGTGATAGGGCCTCAGTGAGCAGACAGCGGCGCTTCACCGAGTCTGAAGCGGGAGGTTCTGGCTCTCCAGGGCTGAGGTTGTATCCATGACACAGGGTGGCATTGCAGTCTGAACGCTGCCAGCAAAACTTGTCAGAATTAAAACCAGAGTACAGCATCTCAGCGTGGTACATCTTTCTTTCTCTTCCTTACTTCTCTCCACCAATCTTTGATCCCAGCTCCGTGAAAACTGCTGTAGACTGTTGTACTGGTTTGCTAGTTTTCCAGCCACTACTGTTCTGTAGTCAAGGAATCAGGATCGTTTTTTTCTAACCTCTGTTTTGAGTGTTTGCAAGTGATATGATCAAATCCCACCATGTTGTGTAGCAGGAATTTCCTTACCTGCAAACTCTTCTACCAATTTTTTTTTTCCGAAGATGGGGAAAAAGAAATGGTCCCAAGCTCAAAGTAGGCAGATGAGTTTTGAATATTGTGATTGTTCTCAGAAGCAGAAAGTCAGGGAGCGTGTGAATTTATTCTTAATGGAATTTCACCATTCCCATACTTCCTGACCCTAGAAAATCTAACTGATATCAAAAAGGATGTGTGCCTGGTGTGTGTTTCAGTCATTTCAAGCTAAGCTGACACACTTCTGGGTAGGACAGGGGGGAGTGCAGATTCAGTTTAGCCCTGGGTACCAACTGATGTGGGAATCTATGGACTGGAACCTGCTGGTGGTCAGAGGCGCTTTGGAAACAGGGGAGAGCTCATTGCCTGCAACCTGTGGGGGTTGGGGCAGTGCTTGTGAGCACTGCTGAAGGAAAGTGAGTGAGTCAGCAGGGAGCAAGAGGAGCCCATGCGTTGCAGTGAAATGAACGCATGCGCCCATCAGGCTGTGTTAGCAGACTGGTTTTGATCTATCTAGTTCTGTCATACCGAGCCTATTGGTGGCAATTCTTAGTGTTGGTTCCATTGTGCTGATGACTAATGTAGTTTGATTAGAGTAACTGTATTACAAGGTAATTTTGGCACTGTTTCTTCTTAACATCTGTGGAACTTGCTTCAGCTTTGGAAATCGAAGTGGGGATTTCTGTGCCACAGTCCCGTGAGCTTGTGCACCTCCATTTCTGATCACTTGCTCTGCCACCCCAAACAGCAATGTACCTGGGGTTGAGTTTTTAGACTTTTATATAACTTTGTCTTCACAGCTAGTCCTTTGTTCCTCTCTTGGTGGCTGACCACCTGGAGCTGGGATAGCATTTATTTATTTCTTCCTTTACCCTCTCTGTAAAAGATGATGATGGGCAGGTTCTCAGCCTGTCTACATGGTGGACTTTAGGTAACCTTGTTGTAACAACCAAGTTTGATCTATAAATGTGCTTGGCTAAATGTCTGATCTGCAATACTTGTAATAGTTTAAAACTCAATAAATACATTTTTAACAGTTGCTCTGTAAAAGCTGAGTGTTTGCTCCACCTGTTGTTGGGAGGAAAGGCTGTGGATGCCCCATCCCTGGTGGTGCTCAAGATTAGGTTGGATGGAGCACTGGGCAACCTGATGTGATAAGGGGACAACCAGCCCACAGCAGAGGGTTGAAATTAGGTGGGCTTTCAGTTTCCTTCCAACCCAAGCCATCCTGTGATTCTCTGGGCCCCCAGACAAACCTGATCTCAGCCACAGCTGTTGAAAAGTGTTTTATTATTATTTTCTCCAAACAATTTTTCTCCCTTGGGCAATAAATAAAAAGTTGATTTCTAAAAAAAAAAAAAAATAATAATAAAAGGAACAAAACCATACATATGTACATCAGCCACACAGGCATTTTGTATTGGTGTGGGATGGGAAGATGGAGAGTGGTAAAGCTACACAGGGATTGGGGATGAAGCATTTTCTGGGCTTGAGCCTAAGGCTACAGTGCAGGTACCTGGGTGTGTGGGACCTTGCAGCCCAGTGCAGGTGGCTGAATGCTTGGCAGAGCTCAGGCTGTGGCAGATGCTGGTCCTGGAGTGCAGAAAGTGAGATGGAGGACACCTCTGCACCTCTTCTTCCCCCTCTGCTTCTCTCCATATCACAGTCCAGTCCTGTCCTACACTGCTTCTTTGGGAAGAGCAGCCATAGGATGGTAGGGAGGGAACAGGTCAAGAGTAATCAGCAGCCTCTATTGCTGTCCTTACCCCTTCTTTCTCTTCTTTAAACTACAGGTTTGACACAAGTTTTATGGGAACTGGGGAGACTTAAAGACACAGGTACATATACACACACACACACACACAAGCGTCACTTAGGATTGCATCTCTCCATCCATGCTGCCTCCCAGCCAGAGGCTGCTGTCCCCCAGAAGCCAGCACAGCAGGTGACCTGAAGCTCCCTGCAATCACCCTGAGGCCCTATTGCAGCACTGCTGGTCACTGTGCCTGGCTCAGGAATGCAGCACATACCGCACTCACCAGTGTCCCTCTGTACAAAGGGGGGGGAAAGTGCTGTGCAACAGAAATAGCTTATGCTTCCTTTTCAACCCAAGTCAACACCCAAATGAACTGGGAGCAGAAACAGGATGGAAAGGGAGGGGGGTTTTTTTGTTGTTTTTTTTTTCTTCCTGAAAAACAAGGTAATAAAGTAGAGATGGGAAGAGATGCAGACCAGGCACTTCAGGAAACCCAGTACACTATTTTTTCTTCCCCCAAAACAGAGCCTGGACAACATCAAGGTTTGTGGTTTTCACAACATAAAAAGCAAAAAAAAAAAAAAAAAAAAAGAGTACGAGATGAGGTAAGAAATTGCTCTATGAAAAAGACATTGAGTCCAGGGTCAGTGGCAGTGTCCGGCACTATTGCTTAACATCCCGGGGCTCTGTGCCCCTCTGTGCTACCTGCCTGGCTGGCCTTAGCCCCAAGCTAACAGCTGGGTGACGTGGTAATGGGGCTGTGCAGGTATGGGAGGCTGCTGGGGGTGGCATGGACACCAACGGAGACGGGGAAGCTGAAGACAAACTGGGAGGTAGGGGTAGAAGTGGTCTTGCCCCGCTCCCGCAGTGTCCCTGAGGGGCTGGCAGCTTCCACTGCGCATGAGGTGGCCAAGACCTGCGATTCGAACTGCAGCAGCTGCCCCATGAAACTGAAGTTAGGAGAGATGATGCTCCGGCGCTGCTTGACAAACTCAAAGGCCTCTTCCAGCTTGACGCGCTTCTTCATCATCAGGTAGGCCAGGCAGATGGTGGCTGAGCGGGAGATGCCGGCCTGGCAGTGGACAAGGACTCGGCCACAGCACTCTTTCACCGAGTCTGGAGGGCAACAGAGAGTGACACGTGAGACCTGCACCCTTCCAATGAGGCCCAGCCCCTGGCCAACCCGCCATAAGATGGCCGACATCACACCCACACGTGGCTTGGAAGGGACCTCAGAGTCTGCCTGCGCCCAACCCCCTGCTGTGGGCTGGTTGCCGCCCACCACATCAAGCAGCCCAGGGCTCATCTGACCTGGCCTTGAGCACCTCCAGGGATGGAGCCTAAAGCTCCAGTCCTTGGGACCTACCTCGTGGCCTCCTCTGGCCGCGTGCAAACCACAGCCTGGCTTCTCTAAATGGGCACTTACCGATGTACTCAATTGCCTCCATGAACCAGGAGCTTATGTCAGCTTTGTGGTTGTCTTCCACAGGGATGCACTTATACTGGTAGTGCCCCTCGAAGTGGTTGGGGCAGTCAGATGAGACGTTCAGCAGGGCTGTGATGCCCAGTGCATCCAGCATGTCCCGTCGCGCCGCATGGTAGGCGCTGCCAAGGTAGAGGAAGGGAAGGATTTCCACAGGGCCACCCTGTGATGGAGAAAAAACAGATTATGAGCACAGAACTGGATAACTTTACAGGCCCAAGGAAGACTTGAGAAGGGGCAGCAGGAAGGCCGTGTTGCAATGTGGACATACCTGGTCATGAAGGGGGGTCCCACATGAACTGAAGCCCAAATCCAGGGACTCGGCGCTGCTGGGGGGTGAAATGCTGGTCGGGGTCTTGGTTTTAGCACAGAATTCAGGATACTCTGAGGCAAAACGCTCGTAACCTCCTGTAAACAGAGAGACCCGGAGGAGTGTTACAGCCATGCTCACAGTGCTGCGGGACAGCAGGAGCCAATGTATTCTGAGTGCCCTTGGCCACTAGATGATGCTACAGGGATGGAGAGCAGCCTGCTGCCCTGAGGAGAGCAACCAGGCTCCTGGCAGCAAGTAGGGAGCCCCTGGGCTGGGCCATTCCCATGGGCCTCAGCTCTCCAATGCTTCTAGCTGCCCAAAACCTCTGCTCTAGGACACAGCCAGCCAAAACCTAAGGGTTGATGCCAAGGTTGTAGTCCAAGACAATGGAGAGAGGGTATGTTGCCAGAGACCTGCAACTCCAATGCCCTCCTGCACCACATATTGTTCAATTCTCTACTTTCTCAGATACAAAATGCAGAGAGGTTCCCTCAATCCCAGTGCCTACAGCCCAAAAGGCAGGAGGCCGTAGAAGTTAACCCACAGTAAAGCCAGTCTGCAGAGAGCCTTTCCTGCCTCCCAAGGACTCAGGGTGGGCTGAACAGAGAGGTAAGTGCCTGTGGAAGAGCTGCTTGCTGCTTTGAGCAGCTGCCAAGGAGATATTGGAGGTGACCTTGTGCCTCCCAACGAGGAAGATCCAACAGAGCTGCCACCTGTTGACTTCCCAGGACAGCAGATAAACACCTCTGGGCAAATTTCCTGTCCTCACGCAAATCAAATCAACAAGGCTGAAATCCTTGTTGGCTGATGTAGAACCTTACAGCCAACAGAAGTCAGGGATTTCAGTGTTGCCATGAATCTTGCCAGATGGAGCACTGTCTCCCAGGAGAGCTGCTGAAGATTCATTCCAAGTGCAGGACTGCTGCTCACCAACCTGAACCTGGCAGAGCACACGCTGCAGGATGCATTCCTTATACCAGCTGTAGCTCTAAGTTGACACAGAACAAGCTTGGATGTTCCCAAGAGCAATGGAAATGAGAACTCTGGCTCTCAAGTGGATGCAAGCTTATCTGACAAAGCACCTCAGGAGCCCCTCAGTAATGTCCTTTATGGTTTTCTTCCCTTCCACAAGGAAAGATTCCAGCCCCTTCTGCAGGAAAATGTACACACCGGTAAATGTGCATCACCTCTCTCACATAAGAAGGTCAGTTTGCAGAGGCTGCATTTCCAGAACCTGAAAGCCCTTTGCAGTCCTGCAACCAGCCTACAGCAGCAGATTGGAAACTCTAGGGTCCCCTCCAACCCAAGCTGTTCTGTGATACTATAAGATGGAAAAGCTGCCCAGGGTCGTGTAGAAAAATGAGCTTCCTCCTGGGAAAAGCAAAGGGACCCTTCCAACAGGGAAGATTTCTCTTCAGTGCTCCTCATCAGACTGAAGGGCCGTTTAGCAAAGTGCTACCCAATAAATTTGCCTTTGGACACACACAGTGCCAGATTTGTGCAACTCTTAGAAAACTGGAGCAAGCAGGATCTTTTTAGCATTTCTGTGGTAAGCAAGCAGGAGGCTTCTAGTGTTAGGGCTGAGACTCTAAGGGCCCATACCTCAAAATAACTGAGATCTCACTCTTAGAAATAAGGAATTACTAACCCCAAACAACCCTGCTTGAGAACCACAGGGGCATCATAGAACAACAGAATGGCTTAGGTTGCAAGGGACTTCAGAGGCCATCCAGTTCTAACACCCTGCCATGGGCTGGTTGCCACTCTCTGGGTCAGGCTGCCCAGGACCCTCCCAAGCGCTTTCAGCTCCCAGCAAAGCGATAACTCACGGTTGAACACCCAAAGCAGGTTCTCAATGAGCCCTCACTGTGCTCCTGCTCCATCCATCAAAACCTCCTAATGGTTTGCTGCTCTGCGCACATGCATTCTCACTGCTGCTGTGAGTAAACCATGAAACAGACTCACTCTTAGAGAGTCAGAATCAAACCACTGAGCACCCTTTCTCTACAGAGCCTCACAAGGATCCTCCAGCCCAGCAGCCCTGGTTGCTCACAGCCTCCCATGCAAAGAACATGGGAAAGAATAGAATCATTAAGGTTAGAAAGATATCTAAGATCGTCCAGTCCAACCCCCAGCCCATTCCCACCATGCTCACTGACCGCGTTCCTCAGTGCCACATCTCCACGTTTCTTGAACACCTCCAGGGACGGTGACCGCACCACCTCCCTGGGCAGCCAGTGCCAACGCGTCACCACTCCTCGGAAGAAGGAATTTCTCCTAACACCCACCCTGACCCTCAGCACCGACTCTCGCCGCAGAAGCACCGGGGCCTCCCGAGGCCTTCCCCACGGCGAGGGGACGCGGCAAAGCGTCCGTTTGGTCCCAGGGACAGAGCCGCACGAGGTGGGGGCGGCCTCCCCCTCCGCGCCGATCCCCTCGTTCGCCCCCCCCCCCCGTTTACCTGCCAGCAGCCGGATGTCGGCGCGCGCCATGTCGCGCCGGAGCGCGCGCAGCACGAGGGCCACGGTGCTGTCGTCCCGCAGGGCCTCCGCGCGTGGGCTGCGCTCGTCGTACAGCACCACGGCGGTGTAGAGCCCGGCGCGCAGCCGAGCCCGCACCTCGCCCTCCGCCGGCAGGATCTGCTCCAGGCTGACCGCCCCCTTGGCCCGCCGCCTCACGATGGTGTTGCAGCGCACGTTGAGAGCCCCGCGGATGTGGCCGGCGCTGTGCGCCAGGAAGGGCCGGCAGTCCAGCAGCAGGCAGCGTCCGCCGCTCGCCTCCTCCCGTCCTACCAGACGCCGCAGCGCGCTGCCCTCCATCTCCCGCAGCCCCTCCGGGGCCACCATGACGGGGCCGCCTTTCCCCGCTCCGCGCTCCGGCCGCCGCTCGCAGCCCCGCGCCGCCCAACCTTTACTACCCCGCCGCGCCGCCCCGCCCCTCCGGCTCGCGCCGCGGGTATGAATGGAGGGAAGGCGGCGCGCGGGTGCGGCCGACGTCACCGCCTCCATTCACAAAAAAAGGGCTCGCCGCCGGCCCGCCATCTTCGCTGCGTTTTTGTGAATGGGGAAAGGCGGCGGGAGGGCGGGCGTTGCGGGGAGCCGCGCTGGGAGCGGGAGGCGGCCCCGGTTTGCAAGGGGGTCACCCCATGGGTCCCCCCACCTCGGTGGGTCACTCTCACGTGGCGCGCGCACGCACACGCACCAACCAACCTCCTCAGGGCACGCGCTCACGCTCGTGCGCCTTCTCCCTTTGTCCGTTGGCGCGTGTTGCTCTCAGGCACGATTCCCGCTGAAGGCTCCCCCTGAGCACACCGCTGCCGCCAGCGTGCTTCCCTCCACCCCCTTCAGAAAGTGCCGGTGAAAGAACAGTCGTCCAGGAAGCGCAGCTGTGAGGACTCTCAGGTTCCATTTCCCTTATGGGGGAGCCCTATTGTAGGGAAAAAGAAGCAGATTTCCAGCGCTGAGGTGACCCTAAGGGGATCTCCCAAGCACCGCGCAGCCATTTTGCTCTCAGTACCCCTTTTAGGCTGCTCACCCCACAAAGCAATGCTGCAAAACCCAATTTCAAGCCGTAGTTGGGGCACTTCCTGAAAGGAGACACTACCAGGCCACGGCAGTTTGCTCCAGAGTCTGCTCCATGTGCTGATATACAGCCTTAGAAATGGGGTGAGCCAGATGAAGGGCCTGCAGTTTCTCCAAGCCCATCTGCCCCGGTCCATAGAGGGCAGCACCCAGACAGAGGCAGCCTGCTCCTCCTCAGCGTGTCAGTGACTGTTTATTAGGGCAGGGCAGATGACACCGTGCTGTGCATCTCTACCTGGGGTGAACCTAGCCTACTGCACGTGTTGGAAGCTTCAAACTGGTACCAACCCCATGGCCTGGTGCTGCCTCTTACTTACAGTGTGTCCTCTGCCAGGTTTCCCCCTCTGTGTGTGCCCTCCCCTGGCTCTCAGGTGCTGTGTCAGCCCTTCTCCAGTAAGCTGCCCCAACCCATTGGAGCCTGCTATCTAATAGAGCAGGGATGGGAGCTCAGTTTGTTCCTGTTCCAACCTGCATCAGACACATGGAAAGAAGAAACCTCTTCCTACCGACACTTCAGCAGGCATTCTTCTTTATACTAACATTGCCTAAGTAAGGGTACAGAGCAGATGTCCTCGGAGCCAGAGCCTGACATCCCATGCAGCTGAGCCCAACTCTGAGAGAGAAAGGGAGCGTTGGTACAGGAGGGGGGAATTGGGACTGTCCATCTCTGGATGTTCAGGTGAGCTCCAATGGAAGGTACTGTTTCAGAACAGAGAAATGATATGCGTGCATGTGCATGGGTGTCTGATGGAGATCCACCGTCGCAGGGATCTCCCTTGGCGCAATTAGCTTGAGAGGAAATCTAGTTAATTAATTTTGTCTGTGGAGGCACTGCAGTGAGACGAGCAAGAACCATCAGAAAAGCTTGCGAGGCAGAAACCACGGTAAAAGAGAAGGAATGCAATTACCTGAGGAAAGGGGAAGGGAGGGCTTGGGGAAAGGGGGAGGGAGGGAGGGGAAATGTCCGCACAGCTTCATTTCCTGACTTTGCAACCTTGGAAGCGTGTGAAAGCTCATATTCCTAGTGAAGGACATCCATATGGTGCAAACTGAAACATACCCTGCTGGAAAACAATGAGAGATGGGGAAAAAGGGGAGAGAGAAAAGGAGGAGGGAGGAGGGAGAAAAGAGAAGGAAGAGGAGAGAGGGAAAAGGGGAAGGATTCCTTCATTTCCTTCCCAGCAGATTCAAAGAATCACCTTTTACAGGGCCCCAGCCAGAAGGGATTGTGGAAGGAGGCTCAAGGGAACTGAGTTGTCAAAGAGGCATATATTTGGATGATTAAATGTCAATATGTACCACAAAATAAGGATGAGGAATTTACACCTTGTCTCACCATGCAGCAGAAAACAAATTAGAGGCAGGCTGTAAATTTGCCAGCCAATTGATACCGATTTGTTTGGCTTTCTCAGCGCTTTTCCTGCTCAGAGAGATGCAGAGATGTGATTCCCCAGGTGGCCCCAGGCTCCATGGCTCTCCCCGGGCTCCTGAGCCTGTGGGGTCCTGGAGCCTGCTACTTCATGCCCCATGTCTCAACTCCCTTTGGTCCTCATGCAGCACTGTGATGTGCTCATTTCAGGCCATCTCTCTTTCCTGCAACTTTTCTAGGTGGGGAAATCTTCCTCCCATCAGCAAAGGGCAGTGCAGCAGTGGAAGGGTTAATGGAGTCATGTTCATAAATCCATGCACTCTTTTTCTTTAGGGCATATTTGCATATTAATGGAGGGGAATTGTAATGAACCTGTCTAGGGAGGCTAAAGGGAAAATGATGCAAGGTTGGACAAGGAGGTGGAGGAGGGGATAATTCTCAGTTCCAGTGCTTTCCTCTCTCTCAGCTGTGAAAGAACCAAGCTGCCTGAGCCTTGCTGCCAGCGGGATAACCCGGGTCTGAGGGAGCACCTGAGCACAGGTCACCATGTGGCCCCACTTGCACCCTCTGTGCTGGCACTGGGTGGACCTGCCCAGCCCAGGTTGTGCCTGCTGCATGGCCCTGCTGTTATTGAAACGCAGATCTGCAGATGTCACAAATCATCCCCCCTCCTCCTATCCCTTCTCCTCCACACTGAGCTGCAAAGAGCTGCTTAAAGTACCATGACCTTTGTTGCCTCAGCCCCCAAGTAACAGCCTTAAAACCTCTGACAGCACTTGGAAAACATCAGGTCTGCTTTCTCTGCTCTCTGTCAATACTGATGTTTATAATCCCCACTCCAGCAAACTGCCCTACAAACAATACCTCAGGAAGAACAAGCACCCTCAAGTTTGCCCTGCGATAGCTGATGGAGGGTTTATATTCACAGAGAAATCAGCTGTAAATCAAGCAGGGAGGAGATGAATTGCTGTGTTCCTGATCTGATATAGATGAGGAGATCGACAAAGCAGCATTCATGGCTGAGAGCAAAGGAACCCTTCTTACAGCAGTGGGGTTTGCAGCTGGTTTGTGCCCATGCAAATCTGATCAGGGCAGGACACACTCAAATGAGCTGGATGCAAAGTGGCGCAGGCCATTTTCTGCTTCAGGTTTGGTTTCCTCTCTCCCTTGCTGCCTTTTGCTGCTGCCTCCTCCCTTCCTGCCAAAGTCCATGCAGCTCAAAGCAGTGAGAAAATGCAAGCTGAAAGCCAGGAGGGTCTGTGAATGTGAGCAGGGTGTGAAGAAGATATAGCTTCTTCTGGGTGATTAGATCGGGCTCTTAATTAGAGCTGGGCGGGAGAGGGTCTGCCTCCCCAAGCCCCTGTGCTTTTTCTTCGGTGAAGAGGTGCTGGGGGATCCAACTGCAGCGCTGAGAGGTTAGCATGGGTTATAAAACAGATGTATGAGCGAGGTGGAGAGAACAAGCGCAAGGGATCTTAATCCCAAAATTCCAAGTGCTTGCTGTGGGGATTAAACTCGTATTTTTGGCTGCTGAATTCGGCAGCACAGCAGAGCTAGGGGAGTGAATGCCTGGAAGCAGTTTGATGCCCTCCTCCTCAGTGCAACGGATCAGCTTTGGGAGTTATTCAGGTGGAAGTCAGGAAGGCACGTGGTGCTTTAACCCAACCTGTGGTATTTTGCCTTTAGCACACATTCATCCCACGTGGTGGAGAACCCAGGGGCTGCTGCAGAAAGCTCCCTGGCCCCAGTGCACTGTTTCATCACAGGCATGCAGATCCCTGCAGATCCCTCCTTTGGGGACAGTGCTGTTTGTAAACTGAAAGAGAAATGCCTTACTGGAACCTCTCGGTGTTTCGTTAAGCATCGTGCCTCTGTGATAGGATTGAAGCTGGGCTTTGAATGATGATTTTTGCTGAGAAGAAAGCATTAGGGGAGAGACATTTTTCCCGTGGGCTTAAGATTATGAATAAGACAGTGTTATATAAGTGTGACTATAACCTATTTATACATCGTGTCAGGCGCACAGGCAGACTATGAATGACAAATCCTCCCCTAATTTCTATGAATATAACAGCAGTCTGTAGCTGAGCTGTGGAACAGCAGTGACCATGCATGTCATTCCATGCCATTGAGAACTGGGACTGCCCTCTGTACTGTCCAGAGGGGCAGTGGGTTTGGTGTCTGGCAGTGTCACACAGATACATGGGGTGAACCCGCCCTGGTTCTTTGGCCACGATGGCAGGTACAAGGCTAGCAGAATTATTAAATAAGATGCAAGAGGAGAAGCCCTGGGGTTCTGGTGGTCCTCTGTGCCTCACTCCTTCCCCACATCATGAGTGCTCTCAGCTCCTGCAAATCCAGGGGGGATTCACAGCTCTGGTCTGTCACACTTCACTTTTCCAGCAAGATGTTCTGCTAAATTATGCCTTTAGTAGGTGTCTTAGCCAGTTGAACAGCACTGGGAGCCCTAAAGGGCACTTGAAATCCAGCCATGTTATAGGGCTGCAAAAAGCCCACCCAAACTGATTACCTGCCTATGAGTGCAGCCAGCAGCAGGCACTGTGGGTGAATCTTCCGCCCTTGTGCCATTTGTGCCTGAGGGCTTCCTGAGCCAGTCCTAGGATCTTCACCCCTAATAGCCTGTGAGAGATTTTTCCTCCATGAATAGACCCAGCTGCTTTTTAAACTCATGCAAATGTTCAGCTTGCCCAGCATCCTGCAGCAAGGAGTTCCAATGCTTCGTTGGGCAAGAGCCACTTCCTTGGGTTCACTTTGAACTTGCCACTTCCTTGCCTTTCTGCTCCTCCTTGTTTCTGTCCTGGAAGTGACAAATCACTTCAAACTCCTGTCCCTCCAGCAATTGGAGAGGAGAGGAGAGGAGAGGAGAGGAGAGGAGAGGAG